CCGCCGATCGATCGCTACGTTCGAGTGTCGAAGGAGAGGATCGCGTGGAGCGTCGCGACTTATTCGACGAGGCGGGCGATCGGTCTTCGAGACGCGCGCGAAGCTGTGGATCGAGACGGTCCTGGTGTGTAGCGGAAGAGCGGCGAGATTCGACGCCGGAGATACGCGGGTGACCGGGACGCGTCGCGGGTTTTCGCTGCCGGTGAATTCGCGAGGCGAGACGCTGTGGATAAGGCCTTGCGGGGAGGAGAGAGAGAGGACGACGAATCGCCGTAGGGAGAGAAGAGGACGCGATCCTGCAGGAGGAAGAGCGCCGGACGCTCAAGAGCGCGCGCGACGTCGCCACGACGGATGACTATCGCGCGTGGACGCGACGGTGCGAGGAGTGTCTCGCGACTCTGCGCGAGAGGTGCCTAGACGCGAGTCGCCGAATCTCCACGGGGGCGAGGACCTCTCTGGTCACCCGAATCCTGCGAGTGATCGGCGCGAGGAACGATCTACGGCGACGCTTCGAGCGAGGGCGCGGGTGTGCGAGACGCGAGAACGACGACGGCGGCAGTAACGGAATCGAGTCGCGCGAGGGATTCTCGTGGTCCAATATCGAGACGGCTTTCAAGAGACGCGTGTTGACCGGCGCTGTGATAAATCTCGATTACATCGAACCTCTGAGATTTCTCGAGGACGCGAGGGATACCGTGCTCCGTCGCGTGCGCGACGTCATGGGCCGATATCGCAGCGTTAAGGTGAACACGACGTTCAACGGAGAATTCGTGTCGGGCAATAAAACCGCCGTTAAGACGATCGCCACGAGAAACCATCCCCTTCTACCCACAACGGATCTGCGCGAGTGGTACGATTCTCGCGTCGTCGGCGAAACCGTCGCGTCTTTGCAGGAGTTTCAAGAGCGCGACAGCGGATGGGCTCTATCGCGCATACTCGATCTAACGGTGAACGTGAACGTGTACAATCCCATGCGGGGGGGTGCCACGTGCGAGTACGCATTGTGGACGCGCAGTCGGCCGTCTCTCCGGTCGGCCGACCTGCACCCCTCCATATGCGCCAGCTCTTGGCGGAGTCTCGCTGCTAACTGATCCGCCTTCTTTGATCCGTCCGCATCCGGAATCCCTAGATTTAAGGCCCCAGTGCGGGCCCTACTGGGCCTTACCTCCGATATGCCCAGCTCCTGCGATATCCACGCGGGACCGGGCACGCCGGAGGGTCTCGGTGTATGTGCCAGGGGGGCACGTGATCGTTACCGCCGCGGTGGGCGGGGGTCTGGCGACTCCCACCCCCGCCGCGGCACGGTCCCAACTGCCCCCCCTCCGTCCTTTTTTGGCTGCGGGGGTCTTCTCCTTCGCTTCCGCCTGCTTCTTCCCCTTCCGAGCCACTACCGTGGCCCAAGTGATCGTCGTAGGCGTGGCCGTTGCGGGTGGGGGCGGGGCTGAGGCGCTAGCCGCTCCCGTGACCGGTTTTGGCCCCTTCTTCAGCCCCTCCTTCCTCGGGTCCTTGTCTAGGTTGGGGCCCCCTTAATGGGGCCCTTGTCTTGGCCTTGGGCCTTCTTACTTTTCTTCTTCTTCTTTTTATTCTTCTTTGGGGATTCTCCCCCTGCCTGGGGGAGTTCCCTCCTCGCCTCCTGCATCAGGGCTCCGCCCTCCCTCACCTCTCCCATCTCCCCCTCCCCCCTCATCACCTATGAGCCCCACTGGGCCGGGAAGGCAAAGGGTAGGTCGGGAAGGTAAAGGAGTGTGCGGTATCCCTGGGGTCCTGATGGCTTGCAGGTACAGCTGCTCGATCTGGTTTATCGCTTGCTCGAGCTCTCTATCCGCCGGAAACTGCTGCTTGCCAGCCCCTCCTCCTTCTTTCCAGTTTGGCTGCCTTCCTCTCCTCGGCTCATTGAGGTCTCAGGAGGGGGTGGTATTACATTCACCTCCATCCCATCCACTACCAAGGACGAGTTGGCCCGCCCTACCACCAGTTCTGGGGCCCCCAGGCTTTCTCCTTCCATGGGGGAAGTACCACGGATACTTTCCCCCTAGCCTCCTCTTCCATCGTTGAGATTCCGCAGGACCTCATCAACCTAGGCGTCGGTCGGGTCTATCCGGTCTATCCCCGCCGGTAATTCACCTCTAGCAAAAGTACACCGAAGCCGAGAAGCGGTTTATCGGGTGGCCGACCCTATCAGTGCACTGAGTGACTCTAGAAAAAAGTGTTACGGGATAGGCCCGCGCCATAACTGATGCAAAAGTTTAACGTCACCCCTATTGAGTGGGCGGATCCGAACCGCCAAGGAACCAAACTTCGGGCTAGACGGTGCTGGGGAAATACCACCCCCCAGCAGTGGTATGAAAAAATACGGGCCAGGTAATCCTCCATACCTGCGCCCAGTTACCCCACTTCAACCCCGGGAGAGGCTCCGCTCAGCAGAAAGGGAGCGGCTTTTCCACGTTAAACATGCCGGTTCAGGCAGTCTTTCATGCATCTTCCCCGGCAGAGGTCAGATACCAACGTCACCTTTCCGCCGCGGTTGGGGGGCAACTACTCCCCCCTTGGTTAGTTTCCCGGAATATCCATGGGGGCTGGCCGCAGCCCACACATCCATCCACCACGCATTGATCACCAAGACGAACAAAAACCCCTCACAAAAACACACGCGGACACCACCCACACCCACGCATCCACGCGCACACTTACACCCCCTAAGCCCCCGCATCCCAGGAAGAGGCCAAAGGGGAACCCGGTCAGCAATGCCCCTCACCCCCCAGCCACCGCAAACCATCCCCCCGTCGGGTTTTAGACCGGTCTTTGGGGAGATGACCGTAGCCGGCATGAGAGGCTCGGAAGCATCCCCACCGTCTCGTCCCTTCGCGCTCTCTTCGGTCATCGCCCGGCCCCGACCCCGGAATAAGTCCAGGCGGCCCGAGCGATGACGTGGCCGACCGGGCCCGGGAGTTCCGGGACACGGCCGCCCACCCCCTTATCACTGTGGGACGTCGAGAGCCACACCGTGCACGAGCCAACACCGCAAGTGCCCTCCCGCACACGGAAGCAACTCCCGACCACCATATCCCCCCCACTAAGGATCCAGGGGACCCTAAGCCGGATGCACGCCCTGAAAAGGACGTCATCCCCAGACTCAAGATCCCCCTTCACCCCATCCCTCCTTGTGGCTTACTAGGCCACTGATCCCCTCAGGGTGGGAGCACCCACCGAACCACCGGGATGGTAGGCCCCGCCGAAGCAGGGTCATCCCTAACGGTCGTGGTCGACCGGGCGATTGAAGTCAGGGCCGCCTACCCCTATGCGCATCAGGCCATAAAGCCCGGAGGAAGCGCAACCCCCCTTCTCATCCCCGACGTGACGGAAGATGAGGAAGTGCAATGGTGTGCTCTTAGACCCCTCAAACCCAATGGGAAGAGGGGAGCTCCTCCACCACGACAAGGTGGCACATCACGGAGGAGAATGCCGACAACGGCACTCTCATGCTCGAGTTCGTCGGACTCAGAGCGAAGATGTACGCGTTGCGAGTCGAGGGTAGGGGCGACACTAAGGAGAGCAAGGGTATGAGGAGCAGCGTCGTCGCGAGAACGCTGACGTTCGATGATTACGAGCGCTGTCTGAGACGCGAGATCGAGATGACCCGCGAGCAGTCGTGCCTGAGATCCAAGTTACACGAAGTGTACACCGTGCGCGAGTCGAAGGTCGCGCTCAGTCCGTACGACGATAAGCGTTACGTCGTGTCGGATTCGACCGACACTCTGCCGTGGGGGCATTACAGGATACCTCTGTGAGGAGAGGCGCGGATAGATCTTAAGCGCGATACGACGTATTTTTATAGATATGCGTAATGTATTTTATAGATATGCGTAATGTATTTTATTATCTTTAATGTTATACAATATATATAGTATATATGTTCGTTGCGACGCGTTACAATACGCGCGATATATTTTCTTATCTTTAATATTACAAATATATATATTCGTTGCCACGCGTTACAATACGCGTAATGTATCTTTTCGTCTGTAATATTACGCGAAAATATACGTATATTCGTCACAATATGTCGGCTTTGTCGATCCACGAATTATACGACCTGTCCATTCCCAGCCACTTCACGAGAACCGCGTCGCCCTTTCGGCGCAGCACTCTCTCCACGAGATACACGTCGGGATCGGAGACTCCCTGCAATTCGTGCTCGTAGAATCCGCCAGCTATCGACTCGCCGCGCGAATCCTTCAGCAGATACATCGCGGGATTCGTCTTTCGCACCTCGGCTACGCGGAAGATCTCCGCGGTCCAATTCGGCGTGTATCCCTTCTCGAACAGCGTCTTGTATTTGCTCACGCGCACGGGATCGTTCGGTCGAAATTTTCCTGGAGCGGCGATCTTCGGGTGGCTGTACACCGTCGACAGGAGTCTCGACGCTCGAACAGCCGTCACATCGATCGGACGCATCCCGATGTTCGATGCTTGCGAGCGTTGTACTCGGATATTAGACGCGGCAGCGCGTCGAGCCACTTGTACGTTCCGTTCAGCGTGAAGTACTTCCACATTGAGTTCTTGAGCGTGCGATTGAAACGCTCGACGATGGACGCTTTCAGCACCGAATACGTCGAGTAGTGATTGATTCCGTGTCTATCTACGAATCTTCGCACCTCGGCGTTGTAGAACTCCTTTCCTTTGTCGGTCTGCACATTCCTCGGGCGACGTCCGGAGGCGGCGCGTCACGCTCGACAGGGCTCGAGCGATCTCGTTGCCGCTCTTTCTCTTGAGCGGTCCGCCCACGCGCACTTGCTCAGAGCGTCGATGACGGTGAGTATGTAATTGTGGCCTCTGTTCTGTCCAGCGTAAGGACGCATCTCGACGACGTCCGCTTGCCACAGATCGTCGTATCCGCGCACCGTGACGCGGCGGCGGGGGAAGTTCTTTCTCGCTGGCGCGTGCAGCTCGTTCACGAGTCTCCGTTTCGCGGCGCTCATCTCGCCGTCTCTATTTTTTTTCTACCCTCTCTTCGACTGTTGCTTATCAGGAGTTTTAGCGCCCAGTTGTATGACTACCTTATTCGGATCGATCGTCTTAGAAATCGCAGCCGTCGCCGCCGCCGCCTTCGCCGCCGCCTTCGTCGCCGTCGTCGTCGTCGCGGCCGTTCTCCTCGCGAGTTCGTTCGCATCTTTCCTCAGTCGCGCCACCTCGACGTCTAGTTCTCGCAATTTCGCGTTGGAAGTCAGCGCCTTCGCCGTTAACTCCTGCAGCGTTGCTAACGTGCGACAGAGATCTCTCCAAAGCGCGCACTCGCTTCTCTGTTTTCTCGTCAATCTCCTCGCCGCGCAACGGAGGTCCCCAGTTCGCGCAACAGTTTGCTCGATGCGTCCCCGTTCGCCCGATTCGTCTCGACGGAGCTCTCCAGATCGCCCAGTCGCTTGTCGACGACCGCGCACGAGGCCGATCTCTCCGTCTCGACGGTCTCGATCCTCGTCGCGGCGAGCTCCTGCAGATTCTCCAGCGTTTGCAGCCGATTCTCGAAAGCGCTCCCTCTCGCGCGAATCTGCGTAACGTCGGTTTCCAGAGCGCTCGATCTTTCGGTCGCGGCGCTCTCGAGAGCGTCGATCTTCTTGCTCAGAGCGACGATTTTTTTCACCGACGAGGCCGCGTTGTTATCCACTCGCGTTCTCACGCTCTCGATAAGCTGGTGATTATTCGCCACGTTTGCTCTCACCACGTGTATAACGCTTTCGACGTAACTCTTGTTCGTCGCGTCGTCGTTGTTGGTCGGCCAGGTTACTCCTCGTATCTTGAAACGCCGCGCGTCGTAATGCAACGCGGAGGGAGAGACGTCGGAGATGGCCAGGCACAGCGCGTTATCGCGTACGTAATTTCGCAGAGATTCCACGCTCGCGCGCAATCTACCGCTCGTCGCGTCGCGACCGCGTCTTCTCCGCGTCGACACTCCGAACTTGCTCGCGAACATCGCGTCGTCGAACAAAGCGTGCGCGCGCGCCGCCGCGATCGTCTCACAGTATCTCGCTCGCCTCGCGGAGCTCCTCGATTATCGACAGGATCTTGTTGTCGTGAGCGTTGTTGCCGGCTTGACGAGAAACGTCCAGCAATCGAAGACGATCCACCAATTCGTTCGGATCGTCCCAGTGAACGTAGTCCACGGTGTCGGCGGTCGAGCGCATAGCCCGCGGCACGCGACCCCCACCGATTCTCTTCCTCGGACTGTCCGTCTGCAGGATCGGAGCTATGACGTGCTTGTACTTGTATCATTTGTTTCCTAGTACGGGCATGCGAATATTGTGCTCGCGCCTGTAAGCGTTAGTTTGCAGAAGTATGCTCCTATACGCGGCTTTGTCTCTCTCAGTGTACTTAAAATCGTCGGTAATTCTCTTGAATATCAATTCGTACAGACCGGGAGTACCGGCATATCTGACTCCGTCCACGAATATCGCGTCGTCGGCATCTATGTCGAATCGCTTGTTTCCGAGCATAGTGCCAGCGTCGGCGAAGTAGACTCCGTAAACGTGATCGAAATCGCTCGGCGCGCCGCCGCTGAGAAGAGCGCCCACGTACTTTCGCGCCAACGGGCCCAATTGATCGCGCAAGATGTCTCGCCCTCGAGGAGTCCGCAGAGACCATCTCACAGACGTTTCGAGCGTCGTCGGCGATCCGAGGAAGACGTCGTCGCTCGTTTCAAACGTCTTCTCGACGGGCGGCTGCGCGAAGAGGTCTCTGCTCGCGAATTCGCGCTGCTACGCGGGATACGCGTTCAACGCTCCCACGGGAGTGGAAGTCGTCGCGTTCAGACGGCGAGATCGCTTAGCTTTGAATCCTTTCGCCGACAGCGGCGGTAACGCGCTCTCCTTGGCCTCTTCCTCATCCTCATCGTCCTCCTCCTCCTCCTCTTCCGGCGCCTCCATTCTCTTGACGCCTCGCGCGAACGTCTCGTCGATCTCGCTCTTCGCCGGTTCCTTCTCTCTCGCGCCTCGCGCGGAATCGTCTCCAACGCGCTCAGCGATGCGTCGCAACGGTTCGACGATCGGTTTGAAACGCATCTCCAGAGCGCTATCGCTCTCCATCCTTCCGGTCTTCAACTCTGTGCTTCCTGCGAATCGACGCGCGCGTTCTCGCTATCTCTATCGCGGTTTTCTCGCGTCTGTCGACGTCCGTCATCGCACGTCGTTCCTCGGCGTCTCGCCTTCTCTTATCTCTCTCCCCTCTACGATCGCCGCCGTCTCGGGAAGACTGACTCATCCTCGGCGACGACGACGACGCTCTACGGCGTAATCGTTGAACTCTCGCCTGTATCTACCGTTGCGCAGCGCGCTATCTTTGTCGATCACTAGAAAACCGTATCGGTATTTCCAACACGCGCGACACAGCGCGTGAAAATCCTCGTACGACATATCGGTATTCACGTGATCGCTGTGCACGTGTTTCAGATTAGTGCCATCCTGCTTAAAGAGTTGTAACGCGCGGTTTTTCCCGTACCGCGAATTTCTGATTGCAGATAGCCGTCGGTTCCAGGTATAGAGAATAAGATGCACGTGTGTTTAAATGATGCGTTTATTTGTATATGTATACTGTACAAGTGTGTGTGGATATCTATGTATGTGTATATGTTTATAAGTGTGTAATGATCTGAGCGTGTGTGTGTGTTGATTCGGTCGCCGCGAGTGTGTTAAAGCGCGATAGTTCGATAAATCGCTTGTTCGTTTTAGAACGGGCGGCGGTGAGGCGCGATATAAGTATAAATTATATAATAACGGTAACAATAATAACGGTAATGTCTCGGGTCTCGAATAACAGGCGAGGACGCAGCCGCAATAATTGAGTACGCGAATGTCAATTATAATTTCGGGCTGGATGCGATCGTGCGGTTCCCGGTATTCGATGCGTTCTCGGCTTTCTTATCGCGCGTGTTTTTGTGCGGGTTTTTGTTGCGCTTACTTACGGCCGTCTGAATGATACGTTTAAAGCCCGGTGGGATGGCTCTTTAAATATTAATTTCTCCCCGAAGGATATTAGGAGTAGGACGGCGTCGCGACGCTAGCAAGCGTCGGAGGCGGCTCGTGTTCCACCTCGGGATAAGTGCGATACCTGAGAGTATATTCGGAGCGATTTCGAAGGCACCGATATCAATCGGCGGAGGCAGCGTTCGCATTACCTTCTGACCTTTCTAATTTCGCAGGATTTCCTCTTAATCTCGTAGCTTGCCTTCAGACTAGCTCGGCTAGGAGGATCTGAACTCAAGTGTCACCGGAGCCCTTTTTATATCGCTAAATACGGCTAATTACGCCGGCGTATTTCTTATTAATCCCCACCGGGCGGCGGAAAAAATAACGGTATATTCGCGCGGGGTTCTCATTTGGCGGCTCCCGGCGACGGTGCTCGGGATGCCGCGTGCGGTTCTCAATCGGCGGCTCCCGGCCGACGGTGTTCTGTCGGACTTCCTACCCGGCTTTTTGCTAAGTTTCAAAAAGTGGGCACACAGCCCTCTGCCTCTGCCCGACCGGTGGTCGTCGGGCGGCAGCTTCCGGCTGATGTTTGCCGGGAAACGATGCATTCCGGGGTGCATCGTTACATCATATCAATAGATTTGCGTTGTCGCGTATCAGATGTTTGGGTATCTTAGCGTACGATTGGCACAGATAGAAGCAGTCGACCTTCGCGTGACGCCCCATGGCGAAGTACTCTCTCACGACGTCCTGTTTGTCGCAGGCCATGTCGTCGAACACGAATATCGAGTTCGGCAACGCCTCGCTAGGCGGAATGACGTCAGCGTTGTTCGAATACGTGAAGTAACCGATATCCCGCATAGGTTTCAACAATTTCTCCAGATATCGATATTTAGGCTGATGCAACGATTTCGAGTAAACGTACACGTTCTCGAATCGCACGCCGTGCGGGCTCTCCAGAAGGCTTATCAGCACGTTCGTTTTACCGCAATTAGAGGGACCGCTGATTACGCAGCGAATCGCGGTCGGTAACAGATTACCGTGTTTTCGCGGTTCCTCGTTCATCGAGTTGGATACTCTTATCGCGATCGGTTGATGCACGAAACGCATCGTTTTTTCTCACTCTCTCTCTCCTCTCGCGATTCTTCCTCGTTGTCGCGAGCGAATCTGCGTCTCAGTGCGTAGACTCGCGCGCGCGCGAGCAACGAGCGCGGATTCGTCCTCGCGAACGTATATATAGGGAGAAAAAAAACGATCGCGCAGTTAGGCGTGTCCGATCGACGGTGACGCGATAAAGTTACGCGCGCGCGCGCGACGCTTCGTAATGTTTATTCTATTGGTGAACGATTCCAATATTCTCGGACTCAACGTCGATCAGTTGCAGTACGTTTCGAAGAAGCTTCTGCTGGACAAGTACGGCAATTTCGTCGATCGATTGTGGGAGAGATTGCCTGTATATCTGAAAGACGATTCGGACGTGCAGCGTTATCGCCTCTGTCACAAGCATCACAATCAGCCGTAGCAAGACACGCACATCGACGGTCCGCCGCCGTGCATCAGACTGCAAAATGTGCCGGGAGAACAAAATGGCGTGACTATAAGCGCGTCGACGATCGAGGCGTATGAGATACGCTGAGGGTCGCGACGGCAGTCGTCGGCGGTAGCGGTTTGCTCAATGGAACTATAAACGCTCTTCCGTTCGAACTACATATACCGGGATATCAGTTTTGCGGTCCCGGTACTCGTCTCGCGAAGCGGCTCGCGCGAAGCGATCGAGGCGTCAATCCGCTGGACGCGGCTTGCCGCGAGCACGACATTGCCTATTCGCGGAGCGACGATCTCGCCGATCGGCACGTCGCGGATCGGGCGCTCGGAGCGAGAGCGTTCGAGCGTATCCGGGCTGGGGATTCGACTCTCGGCGAGAGAGCGGCGGCGTCGGCCGTATGGGCGGTTATGAAAGCGAAGACGAAACTAGGAATGTGTATGGCTGGAACGCGAAGAGGCGCGAGAAAGAGCGGCAAGAGAAGAACGACCTCGACGAGGAGGAGGACGACGAGAGGACGGGTTCTTCCCGCGACGAAACGCGGCGGCTTCCTGCCGCTGTTGCCGGCGCTCGGAGCTTTAGGATCGCTGATCGGCGAAGCGGCCGGCATGGCGAAGATGGTGAACGATGGTAAGGCCGCGCGTCGACAATTGGAGGAGCTGCAGCGACACAATCGAGCGATGGAGGGCCGCGGTTTGATCTCGCGCCTTACAAGCGCGGCGGAAGCATCGCGAGACGAGGCGGACGAACGGTTAGGAGGAAGAAAAAAAAAATCGCGCCTTCGCGCGCGTTAGACGACGTCGTAGCTCCGATCGGCGTCACGACGAACGAACAGTTGAATAGCGCGGCAAAGCGCGCTCGCATGCGTCACTTCAGAGGTGTGTTCATGCGCGACACGTTGCCGGCGCGAGTTCGTCGCGACGAGAGTGGAATCGTGAACCTGGACAACTCCTTGGGGCCGGGCACGCATTGGGTGGCGTATGCTAAAAGGGGAAAAGACGATATCTACTTCGACGCTTTCGGCAATCTTCGGCCGTCTCGAGAATTCGTGCGTTATCTAGGACGCGACACGCGCATCGCGTACAATCGCGACCCTCAGCAGACGTACGATCAGAGCGTCTGCGGACAATTGTGCCTGCGCTTCCTTCGACGAGTCGATTAGGGAAGAGGAAGGAGGAAGCCCTTCGGTCTCTAACGGCGATAGCGCGCGTCATCATGTCGCTGATTTTCACGTTAACCGGAAGAAGCAACGTTCTCACGACGAGTTACTTTCCGCATCTCGATCTGAGCGACGACGATTACGAGCTCGGTCTGATCAATTTCGAGACCTACACGATTCCGAACGTGAATTCCTCGAACAATAAATTTTACTTTCGACGACAACGACGAGACGATCACGATCCCGATCGGATCCTACGAGCTGCGCGACATAAGCGCGTACCTGAGAGCCGCGATTCTTCGAAAACGGCGATGACCGCCGAGCGCGAGTACTGGAGGAAGAGACGGCGACGATGGCGCCAGCGACGGCGATGACGACGAATATCTGTACGACGTCGAGGACGCGGAGGACGAGAGCGGCGATCGCGTTCTCGCGCTACGCGGTAACGACAATATGAGAAGCGAAATCAAATGCGCGTACCGAATTAATTTCACCAAACCGAACAATATCGGATCGTTATTAGGTTTCTCCCAGTCTCGTGTATTGCAACCGAACAAATGGTACGCGTCCGACGAGCCCGTAAGTATTATCGCGGTTAACACGATTCGCAGTGCAACCTGACGACGGGCGCGTACGTGAACGGGAGATCCGCCCACGCGTTACACGAATTCGCGCCGAACGTCATGCCGGGATATAAAGTGTCGGAGATCCCGAGATCATTTATCTGCCGGTCATCGCGCGACTCGTGACCGACGTATCGCTGCGCGTCGTCGATCAGGACGGTTGATTGATCGATTTCCGCGGCGAAGAGATCTCGATTCGATTGCACGTGCGACGCAGACGATAGAGAGCGCGCGGCGAGACGCGAGGACGGGGTAGGGAACGGGGCGATGCTCGTTGTGCGCGAATCTAGCGTCGCGACGTCGCATCGCGGCGGCAGCGGCGGCGACCGCGATCACGTCGCGGGAATTCGAATCGCGCGCTCGAGAGAGAGGAGCGTCGGGGGATTGTCCGCCGCCAACGTCGCTATTCTGCGATCCATGGGTTTCGTCGTACCGAAAGCCGCGCGATAGTTCGACGACATGAGGGACATTCTGAGCATCGGCGGGGAACCCGTCTTCGACGATCGCATCGTGAAGATCGATAGTCACACGTACAATCCGTACGCCAACACCACTTTCGGATACAGCGACGAGATACGAATACCCATACAACAGCAGGACCTGTACACGCTGCCGTGCGAGAGTTTTCTCTGCGTCGAAGGTAGACTGCATACGAAGAATAATACGCTGCCCGCGTCGAGCGGCGATTCGGGTAAGCCTGCTTCGGTCTCTATGGAGCCGTCCGTGTCCTCGACGCCGGCGTGGCTCGTGAACAATTGCGTCGCCTTTATGTTCGAGGGATACGTTACGAGCTCGATGGCGTGGAGATCGATCGTAATCGCAACGTCGGAATAACTAGCACGATCAAGAACTACGCCTCGCTGACGGCCGAACGAGGCAAGATCTTGAAGAACGCCGGATGGGATCTCGCGACTGGACCGAGCGGCGTCGCGTCGACGGGCGACATCAACTTTTGCGTTCCTCTCGATACGCTGCTAGGTTTCTGCGAGGATTATAGGCGCGTCGTCATCAACGCGCGTCACGAGCTGATTCTGATAAGAGCGCGAAACGACAACAATTGTCTGATATCGCGTGAGGAATTCGAGCCAAGAGTCGAGCTCGCGAAGATACAGTGGTGCGTGCCGACACGTGGTGCGTGCCGACATGTGGTGTTGAATGACGTCAATAAATTATCGCTGTTGCGCACGTTGGACAGCGGTAGATATCTGAGCGCGCCCTTTCGCTCGTGGGATCTCTACGAGTTTCCGCTCCTGCAGAGCACGACCAAACACTCGTGGGCCGTAAAAGCGGCCACGCAGCTCGAGAAACCGCGTTACGTCATCTTCGCGTTGCAGACCGGAAGGAAGAACGTCCTGTCGCAGGACGCTTCCAGATTCGACGCGTGCAATCTGACCAACGTAAAGTTGTATCTCAATTCCGACTTCTATCCGTACGACGATATGAATTTGGACTTCGATAAGAACAAGATCGCCGTACTGTACGACGCCTACGCGAGATTTCGACGAACGTATTACGGATCCGCGAGCGACGAGACGCTCCTAACTATGAACAAATTTCTATACTGCGGCCCGCTCGTGGTGATAGATTGTTCCCGCCAAAACGAAGCGGTTAAGAGCGCCACTGTGGACGTTCGTCTGCAGAATTTGACTGCAAGGACAACGTTCCTTCTAACACCACGGCGTACTGCCTAATCATTCACGATCGCGTGGTGGAGTACAATCCGCTGACGAACGTCGTGCGTAAGATCCTGTAAGACGGCGCGTTGAATGGGGGGAGAGAGAGGAAACTCGAAACCGCGAAGATATGTGGGAGAGACGCGAATAAACGTCAGTCTCTCGCGAATAAACGTCAGTCTCTCGCGACGATGACCGCGACGACGGTCACGGGCGATATCGCCCCGCCGATCTTCGTCGATCTGCAGGGCTTCGTCATCTACGAGCGATTCGTGACGAAGGAGATGGCGATACTCGCGAACGGCAGAGATCTGACGCATCACGTCTTTCGCGCGCCGATGTCGTGGAATTTGCTGACGAAGAGCGAGAAGTCGCAGGCCTGTTGGCTGACTCTTAATCACCACGAATTCCACTGGACCGACGGACACGTGGAGTATAGGCACGAACGCCGCGGTGACGATCTACGTCAAGGGTCGCGAGAAGAAGAAGTGGCTGACTGACATCGCGGGAGAGGTCGCGGAGCAGCGCGACCTGACGATCGAGACTATCGACGCTGATTACGAGGATATCGGACCCCTTCGAACGCTAGCCACGACTCGTGTCTATCGCTACGACTATCACTCGAAAAATTGCGCCTTGGAAAACGTGTGCAAACTGCACAACTGGTGGTTGGAGAGACGCGATCAATTGCGCGATATGTGAATAGAGACGCGTCGCACGTTTTCCGCATCGTAGATTAGTTTCGCGCGTACTCTTATCGACGACTAACTTTTTTATCTCGCGCGCGTCGACTTATCGCCTACCTAGAAAAGTATTATTAATACTTAGAAAGATACTATTAATACACTAAGAAAAAAATAATATTAATATTAATATTAAGAAAAATAATATTAAAATAATTGTTAAGGATTCGCTCTGAATCGCGCATAAAATTATTACCCCCGGTCATCCTAGCGCCATCCGTTTGCGCACTATCGAATCCGCGTTCACGTACGCCGTTACTTTTTCAAAAATCATCCAGGATCCGCGTGATCACGCGAAATAATACACGGTCCTGGCCAATAAACAGGCTTACATATCACGCGATCTGACGTAATGATCAGGGATACGTCGAGGTCCGATCATACGATCCGTGATCAAATCTTTATCTATCGGGAGAAAGGCTTTCTCCCCGAGAGTCTTCCGTTTTCCATCATAGTGATCGGAGCGTAATACGGAGAGTAAAAATAGTGCAAATTCGAGAGTTCGCTATAATCTTACCGAGCAAAGTTAAGATTCGTTTCATTAGTCTCACGCGTGTGAAATCCTTAAACCGCGAGCCTCAATCATTGTAACAGTTTCGCGAAGTAACATTGCGCGCCAGTCGTGTCCGCAGTGCACGTGAACAGTTCAAACGCGAGTGCCGGGATCTTTCGGAGCGTCTCCACTCTCAGCAAGAGGCGGAGCCTTCGTCGTACCGCAACTCCGTTCAAGCGAACTGGGCGTCTCTCTCGCTCTCACGCGAACGGCCGACCAAGCGCCGTCTCGCTCGCTCTCACGCGAACGGCTGATAGAGCGCCGTCTCGCTCGCTCTCACGCGAACGGCCGATAGAGCGCCGTCTCGCTCGCTCTCCCGCGAGCCGTGAACAGGGCGGTTTCGCGTATTCATAGATAGCCACAAGTCAGCTATCTATCTCAAAATTGGGCGAACCGACGTGTATAGTGCGGTCTCGCTTGAACTCTAGTACGAGCGGCATAACGCCGTCTCTCTCGCATTCGTGGCGAGTCGTGTATAGTGCGGTCTCGCTCGAACTCTAGTACGAGCGGCATAACGCCGTCTCTCTCGCATTCGTGGCGAGCCGTGAACAATGCGGTTTCGCGTATTCATAGATAGCCACGAGTCAGCTATCTATCTCAAAATTGGGCGAACCGACGTGCATAGTGCGGTCTCGCTCGAACTCTAGTACGAGCGGCATAACGCCGTCTCTCTCGCATTCGTGGCGAGTCGTGTATAGTGCGGTCTCGCTCGAACTCTAGTACGAACGGCATAACGCCGTCTCTCTCGCATTCGTGGCGAGTCGTGTATAGTGCGGTCTCGCTCGAACTCTATTACGAGCGGCATAACGCCATCTCTCTCGCATTCGTGGCGAGTCGTGTATAGTGCGGTCTCGCTCGAACTCTAGTACGAGCGGCATAACGCCGTCTCTCTCGCATTCGTGGCGAGTCGTGTATAGTGCGGTCTCGCTCGAACTCTAGTACGAACGGCATAACGCCGTCTCTCTCGCATTCGTGGCGAGTCGTGTATAGTGCGGTCTCGCTCGAACTCTAGTACGAACGGCATAACGCCGTCTCTCTCGCATTCGTGGCGAGTCGTGTATAGTGCGGTCTCGCTCGAACTCTAGTACGAGCGGCATAACGCCGTCTCTCTCGCATTTGTGTCGAGTCGTGAACAGTGCGGTTCGCGTATTCGCAGATAGCAATATTCATTCTATCTATATCGGACCAGCGGACTGACGTGTATAGTGCGGTCTCGCTCAAACTCTTTTCCGAGCGGCATAACGCCGTCTCGCTTCAATTCGTGCGTATGTTTGTTAAGGGCGCGATCGCGCTCGATCTCGCTAACAGCTGATCGATAGCTGTCTCGCTCACTCTCACGCGATCCGCGTACTGGTGCGCTCTCACCCTACATCGCGTCTTGAGGCCGGCAAACGGGTACAATATTGTGACTTTAACAATAAACGGACAGTAATTCGCTCACTGGTCTTACTGTAACACATTAAATCGCCATTGCACACAATTTCATTCCTATCGAGTATTTCTTTCGCGATCACGCACTGAGAGAGCTTGCGATACCCCCGCGGGTATGTGCCGGCATAGTTCAATCGCGCTTACCCGGTTTTACAAAATTCGCGAATCGAAAGCGCGATCCCGAACAATAATATTAAAATAATATTAATTAGTGAATAACGTTAACTCGTATCGCGCCTACGCGGTGTTCAAACTCATAATCGGCATTTCGATAATCAAAATCAATTAATAAAATCAATTAAATTCAAAGTTTCAAAATCAACGGGCGTCAAAGAAACTTCTCGAAACGTCTGTTTTCTACAAACACTCAATCGGTCGATTTAGTTTCTATTTTTTCTAACGACCAAGAAACACTCATCATGCTCGTTGACAACAACATTGTCAACCGTCGACAAAATCAGAGCAACATATGGGCATGCGCGCCCATACGTCACGATTAGCTGATCGCCAATCAGCTGATCAAAAAAGATCGTGCGCATGGCAAATGTAAAAATTTCAACTCCTGACCTCATCGGCGGCCAATAATGCGCGGCGTCCTGAGGTCACCGCCAAAATACGAAAACTATTGGCCCACGTTGCAACGGGCCCGAAAATTCTGCCTGCTATATAAAGAGCACCGCACATGGGCACGGGGAAGTCTTGCGCTTTTTCTAAGACGTGCTCTTTTGAACTTATCGCTTTGTTACACCGCTATTTCACACCGCTTATAACGACCGCTATTCTTTTGGACTTCGATTATCCGCGCGTTTCCGACGATCAGCCCACTGCACCGCTCGCGATATCTCACATAACAACTTATCGCCTTTTGCACCGCGCGCTTACTGTGAATCGTAATCACCGAACACTTGTCACCTTTATATTTTTGACACGAATAAAGTCTCGTCCTTTTATTAACCGAAGGCAAAATATCTTTTCTCTGACGATCTTGCACCTTCCTCAATTCACTGCCGGACTCGCTTGCGAACACGCGGTTAAACGCATTTTCCAGCACTTCTTCCGGAGCAATCGAGAATTTATCGCGCCTCATTAAATTACCTCGTTATATTTCCGTCGGACGATTTTTTCATACCGCCTTAGATTATAGCATTAGCATTAGCATTCGACGGAATCATAACGACTCGGCGATAGCGATATCGCGCGATTTTTTCATACCGCCTTAGATTATCGCATTAGCATTCAACGGAATCATAACGACTGCGATAGTAATATCACAGGTATAAATTAACGCCGAGAGACCGTTTTTCCTCAGAATGAGTCTCGCGATCGCGTTATTGAGTGCGTCTGATATTGCGAGTGTTCTCAGTGCATCCAGTGTTCCTAGTGCGTCCAGTATTCATTCATTCTCAGAGTTATTTCTTCGCGCGAACGACGATGAGCGACAATGAAATTTCGAGACTGCGAAGGATGCTCCACGAATGCACGTTCACGCCGTGGATGTGCGTGTGGAAGATAAAGTACATCAGAAATCTCATGGATGCGATCCTCAATATAGCGGTAACGTGGAACATAAGTACCCATTCATCATCGTTCTTTATTCTTTCGTTCTCCTTCGAGGAAAAATATGACGCACATTGATCGCGCGACATTTTTCATAGTTCGAGAAGGAGGTGAAGATCCGAGGATTTGTGAACATACGCCGCCGACATTAGATACGATAAACAAGACTGAAGCAACGGCGATTCTTAAACTCGTTATGGTGCGACCGGCCGTCCTATAGAAAATGGGAGAAGCGCTCCCCTAATATCTACGCCGATGTGACGTCCCGCCATTTTTAAAATTACTAGATTTAGTTACTATTCGCTTATCCATCTTGCTTCTTTATTATAACCATGGAGTAAGAACGAATATTCGATTTTACTAATTATAATCCGAATTTATTCGTTATTATTATTGATTTTAATTTTAATATATGAATTATAACATTCCACGCTTGCTTACCGTTCCTATTATACACGGTTATTTAACCTGCTAATTAACTATGTACCCCTTAATCAATACATAATAAGGACTTTTTATACATATTAAATTTAAAAATTAGATTTAAATAAATGCGACCAAAATAGATAATTACGTAAATAAGGTATTTCAAGGAAACTATTAACTAAAAAGAAGAAATTATTTAAGAAATTATTCTATTAATTAGATTAATTTTAAATGAATAACTACCAAACCATTTTAACTCTTTGAAATGCTTTATTTAATTCATTATTAATCCACAACCAGTGTAAATA